CGTGGGGGTGGAGAGAGAGAGAATGGGGGGATTCAAAATGAATCCCGCCCACTTCGTGCATGCGCGCGGGCGGGAAGGGCGGAGGAGTGGGGTGGCGACGTGGGCGCGCGGCACGGGCGGAGTGGGGCGTGGAGAATGGCGGGAAACGGCGGCGGCGGCATGGGCGGTTTCGACGGCAGCAGTTGGAGCTCCGGCTCCAACGGTTGGAGGTGGGAGACGACCGACAGGTGGGGCCCACCTGTCGGCATCCCAGAGAGAGGAGGGAGGGGCGCATGGGCCGGCCCAACAAGAGGAAGGCCGAGCGGGAGAGGGATGGGCCGACGGCCCAACAAAGGAAAAGGAGGGAAAAGAAAAAAAGAAAAAGAAGAAAGGATTTTTCCTTGGATTTAAAATTGCACTTTGGTGATTTTTAATTGGTTAAAATTATTTCCAAGGCTCTGAAAATTCCACTAAAAATCTTTTTAATGCATTGGAGCATGGGGAACTCAAGAAAAATTCCACCACGCTATTTCTGATTATTAAGTGCATTTATTAACTAGGGATTTAGCTCTAGGTTAATTAAGATAATTTCTTCGGGCAATTTATTTAACCAATTTTTAAAGCAAGCAAAAGGGGGAAAACTTCAGGGTTTGACAGGCTCTTGCCATTCATACACCCATGTAGTAGCAGGATAATCAGAAGCTTGGGGACGGTTGTACACATACGTTGGATAGCCACTTTCAAAGCTAGAGGCACTGAATGAGCTAGAGCTATCCTGTTGTATGTCACTGAATTGTTGCTGTTGTCGGACTCCCGGTGCAATGGTAGTTCGTTGAGAGCTTGGAGCACCGTGATCCTGGTCCTGAGTAGCATGAGTGAAGTCGCCCTCACCTGCAAATCAAAAAATTGCAAGAAAATTATCCAGTACTGAATTGGAAGATGAAGGTTGAAATTGCAACTGAATTATATCACACCAGTGAATTGAACGGGGCTGTGGTGATCTGATTGTTGGGTGTGACCCCTAGGAGGCACATTAGTAGTGCCTTGGCCTCCTCGACCATCGTCGTCGCCGTCATCTGTTTCAGTTCTTGAGCTACTATCATTGGACTCTTGGTACTCTGGGCTTCCTTGGGTCTCTTCATCGCTATCAACACTAGTCGATCGTGGACCCTTGCCCTTTACCTTTTTAGATGGACGTGCTTTTGGCGGCTTTCGAGTCTTCCTTTTCCCAATATGAGTGTCACCTACATTCGTATCAGCCCACTCAGCAATACTAGAAGCTCCCGTGGTCCTTCGCAGGTCATCCAAGTTGACTAGGTCAGACACAAGTTGACTAGGCAGGGGAGCGTCACTCTCAGCTGAATCTTCATCTAGTTCGGGGCAAGCATTAGAGCGAGCATTGTCCATCCAGGCACTGATATGATTGTTAGTTTCATAGAATGAGAGGTCCGCTAATCTTTGAAGGGGATCATCGTCCTCCACCCTAATTTGGGCATTTGCTTGCTGAATTCGAAGGCGAAGGTTGTAGTTCACGTACACTAGCTTGTTGAGCTTCTTGTGGGTAAGTCTATTACGGACCTTCGTATGTACGAATGCGAATGTGCTCCAATTCCTTTCACATCCACTGGAGGAGCAACATTGACCAACCAAACACAACGCAAGCTTCTTCAAATTCGGCGTGTCTGAGGCGAACATAGACCACCATTGTGCTGCAAAAGCCAAGTAACATGTCATTTCATAATTCTGAATACATCAAGATCAATTAAATATATCATAGTTCCATGATTAGAAACATACCAGGTGAAGTTTTCCCATCTATGGCCATCCTTCTTGCTAGTGCCCTCCCAAATTCACCCGTCTTACGTCGGTACATCTCAACCTCCAGCAAAGCGGCGGCAGCCGTATCGATATCCGTCATCCACTCGAATGCCTGTCGGAGGTCTTGGAAGACAGTAGCACTTGGAGAATACGTGTAGTGCGTCCTAGGGTTCAATGCGGCAGCTACAAAACATGGCACAGGTTAAGTAAGAGTTACATAATATGCCATGTGGATTATGTTATGACCAATATTTACCGGCATTGATGAGAGTCTCATTGGTTAGGTCGTGCATCCTTCTGTTCATGATCTCCATGTATGCTTCAAACTTGTCCCTTTGATTCGCAAAAAGACTGTCGTACTCCATTTTGAGCAACTGATATCTCAAAAGTACCTCACTCAAATTGGGGTTCTTGTCCTCGTCAGCAAACCGAAGGAATGAGTACATAGGTTGGACAGAATTCACTACTGCCTCTAAGTTCTCCCACCAAGACAGACTAGATAGACATGCATGTGCATATCTACCTTCCAAAGTCCCACTAAATTTGCTTTGCATGAAGACAGAGGAAGCCATCCATTGCATGAAAAGATCTCGCTTCCTAAGGAAACTCTGGAGAAACATGTAGTTTGTTCCGAACCTTGTAGCATTCCACTTAACCAGTTCACCACCTATAGCTAAGACCATCATAGCATGCAACTTGTTATGATTGTATAGCCATCTGCAAATTTTCCTAGCACTCTCAATCACCATTTCATGGTCTGGCATTTTCCCAACCTCCTTAAGCATCAAGTTAACTGTGTGTGCCACACAAGGTTGCCACACAATTGTCTTGTATTCTTGCCGTAGTAGTCTGCACGCCTTCTTGTAGTTAGAGCCATTGTCAGTGATAATTTGAACAACATGCTCCGAGCCTATTTCGCGTACCACCTTCCTTATCTCCTGCATTGGTAGATAACATAATAAAAATTAGTCCATGCCCCTAACACTGACGATAACAGGTGATGAAGTAATTTGTTGCATGAACCATACATACCTTCAGCACAAAGTTAGCATCCTGGCTTTGCCCGGTCGCATCAATGGACTTGTGGAAAAACATTATTCCATTGCAGTATATCAGAAAATTGATGACCGACATACTCGTCGGACCTGTCCAAGAATCACACATTATAGTAACACCGTACTCATCCCAATCCTTCTTGAACCTATCAAATTGCTTCTTCACATCCTTCTCTGTAGAATCAAGATATTTTCCATCTATCTCGTTACCAGTTGGAGAAGGTACACTTTCACCTACAATTGACGTATGAAATAAGTAGTGCGCAATGAGTTAGAAAAAAAGAAGTTCCTTAATAGATGCATACGTACCCCACTTTTGTGTCTCCCGAACGGCGCTCACAAAGTATGGATTATCGGCGTTTCTACCAGGAATGCCGGCAGTAAAGAAGAACCTTGCCCATGACTCACCAATGGCTTGCCTAGCTTGCTTCCCCTTCTTTGTGAAGAATCCTGTGTCAATGCGTGGCTGCACAGGGGCCTTGGCAGATGCTAGGTTGTAATCTCTCACAGCAGGTGATTCCCTATGAGACGTAGCCCTTCGTAGCATATTGGTAATTGGGTTATTTCTACCTTTCCGTGCCTCCGGCTGAGCGGATCCACTCCCACCGCCATGCTCATAAGTGCCACCACGCTCCTCAACATCCCTCCTAAAGTTTTCGTCTTGTCGTGAGGTTGCAATGGCTGCTTCCATTTGTTCCTCCTCGTCGGCATCACCTGTTAGGTCATAATAGTTGACCCTTGCTGCTTCAACCCTTCTTCCGCTATCACTCTTACGCTGGTCACCTGCATCTTTTATCCTGTCCAACTCACGGCAGAAGAACTCACGGACATCCGGAGGCACTGAATTGCAATATGTAACCCCCTTCCCTCTTGCAGCCAAGTGTTGCTTTAGTCTTGTTGCCCCACCACCGCCCCTCTTTGTATGGCAATACTTACAGCGCCATCCAGGTGGGATATTCTCCCCGTGCTCCCACACAGGGTCCCTACTATCTGACATCTCCACCCTGTATCAAATGCATGAGAAATTATCACTGCTAATTATAAACATACCTCCCATTATGCAATAATACGACGTAATTATATGTACACTGGTAAGCATGCATCCAAATTCTTCCATACTATGACGTATTTAATTTAACCTATATGTACATAGACCAAAGCAATCAAATATACTTCACATGCATGGTTTTAGCCAAGCACGGGCAACCAAATGCCGAAATAAACTCATATTCCCAATGTATTTCACATGCATATTGGTAAAAATATGTTCTATTGACCTAAATCCCCAAATATGTCCATGCATATCACAGTAAAAAATACCATACCACGGTTCAAGCCACGGTAACCACGGTAGGGTGGACGGTTACCACGGTTTTCACACGATTACCGCACATACGTATATCGTCTCATAGATTACGAAGCCGACGGTAACCGTACAAAACCGCACGGTTACCGCTCCTAACCGCGCGAAAACCTTCAAAACGGAGGGATTACCTCTTGCCCGTCGACCCAGGCGGTTACCGTCGCGTACCGCGCGGTTACCGCCACTTACCGCGCGGGAACCGGCCTCGCCGGCGCGGAGGCGGCGGATTTGGCGCGGGCGCACGCCGTCGCCCCTTCGGTCCTGAGCGCAGCTACGCGAGAGAGGGGAAAAACGGTAGGATTCGCCAGAGAAACGAAGCAGAGGCTTCCAAAGATATTTTCCTCCCATTGTGGGCCTTACTGGGCCTCGTGAACAGTGCATACTTGGCCCATTCCATTTAATCTTTTTTCTTTTTTATAATTCACAATAGGTTTTGCGCTCAAATTTGAATTTACCTGCATCTTTTTGATGAAATTTTTTCACCATAACAACATACAAAACAAGCTTTACATCCATGATTTTTTTTGATTTTTTTCGATTATTTTTCAAATTTTTGAATTTGAGCAAAATTTGCCCAAACCCTATCGCCGGTTTTCGTTACCGACCCCCCACGGTAAGCCCGGTAACCGCGGTTACCGCGCGGTTACCGGCGAGAAAGTGAACCCTGATTGACACATTCTATTCCCTGAAAAGTACCAATTGCAAAGATTATTTTGCTTCAAGGTATTATATGAAAGAATGAACATAGTAGTAAAAAACATTTTTCACACTTTCAATGAGCTAACCTCAAAGTATTTGATAAGCTCAGAAGAATGGCTTCCTAATGGACCAACATATATTTCCTCCCCTCCTTGGTTCAGTAGAAAAAGCTGTAGTTCATTTAGGGTACATTACACGGATCAATAGATTACATGTTCTCATCTAGAAGTACAAGCTTCCTTACCTCATCCAAGGATTCAAATATGTCAATACTTGGCTGGTGGATAGTGCAGACAATGGTTTTACCGGTGTCGACAAGGTTCCTGACAGTCCTCATCACAATTGCTGCACCCCGAGCATCAAGCCCTGAGGTTGGTTCATCCATGAAAATGATAGAAGGATTAGCAACAAGCTCCACTGCAATGGTTAGTCTCCTCCTTTGCTCACTTGAAAGGCCATTCTCCTCAGCAAGTCCAACATGTGCATCTTGAAGTGATGTAAGCTCCAAAAGCTCCATCACATTCTCAACAAACATCTACATCAAAAGTTGCCATTAAAGCAATTACTCCATTCGTCCCAGAATATAGCAACTTAGAACACATCTTAGTACTACGAATCAAAATATAGTAACCTAGGACTGGATTAGTGGTACTAGGATGTGCCTAATCCGGTCCTAGGTTGCTATATTTTGGGATAGAGAAAGTAGATAGCGCTCTACACATTTACTGAATGTACATTCAGTTAGGACTGAAGCTATGAGATAATGCATAAATTTAAACAAATTATTCATTCAGCCTCCTCTCAATTTTTCTCACAGAAATCATAACTTGATATCAACCTAATACTCCCTCCATCTACTTTTGATAGTCATATTTCATTTTGACACACAGACCAAGGATAATTAATTCTACTTATCATCTATTTAAACATGCTACTAGTCATTTCTCGTAAACAAGCGATTCATTAATATTTACATTTCACGATGCTCAAGTAGCCAATCTTGTGTGGAAGAATGGAGAGTTATGTATTAAATCCGAGACAGTCATTAAGATGATAGATTGTTGAATTGAAATATGCCTATCAAAAATAAAATTTTCAGATTTGGAAATATGACTATTAAAAGTAGATGGAGGGAGCAGTATTTCTTGTCTTTCTGGTACTGACCTTTCTTGTCATTGAGTCGATCTCTGAGGGTAATCGAAGCCATGCAGAAAACAGAAGTGACTCAAGCACAGTCAAGTGTGGAGAGTGGATGTTTGACTGTTCACAGTATCCAAACACACGGGAAAATGTTTCTTGCTTCTTTGGATAACCAGAGATATTTATTGTCCCTTCAGTGTAGCCTCCAGTTTTCCTTCCAGCTAAAACATCCATCAGCGTGGTCTTGCCAGCACCACTGAAGCCCATCAATGCAGTCAACACACCTGGCCTGAAGGCACCACTCACACCCTTCAGTATCTCCAATCGATCTTCTGTCCCAGCACACACTTTTTTTTCCTAATAAATTTGCATGTTTAAGAAATAACTGATCAAATCAATTTCTTTTTACTGTTTAAAAGTTTTGGTTAGATAATATGAGGAGCGTTTTTACCTTTGGCATGTCAACTGAATATCTTATGTCGTTAAAGGTAAGTGAGAGTGGCATAAATGGAAGTGTTGCCCTTCTGCTTACAGAACTCTGCAACTCATTTGTAACTCTTTTTTGCTGAGATTTTACTGGAGTATTTCTGCTCAGTTCCTCAAGTTTTTTGTTTAGAACCTTTGGACCTCCTAACAAAAAGGTTCTACCAGGTGCTGCAAGTAAGACATGATTATCCACTTAGCCTTGGTTTAACTGCAAACAGTTCTAAACAATAGCGACTTGAGTCACACAAAACATAGCATACATTTGAAGCATGCCAAAGCCACAGTGTAGAGGCAGTTGAAGAGAAATGTGTATCCAACCAGTGCACCTAAGCCAACCCAATACCACTTTGTTTCTAAAAATAGCCCACGAGATTCTAAGACACTAGCTCCTAATGATTCTGACGATCCAGGAAGTACCTGTAAAGAAAAATGCATACTATGTCAACTGTGCTCTTTTTTTCTTTAAAAAAAAGAGAAAATATAAAGGTAACGTATATACTTTACTCCAGCTGTGAGCAGTAAATTCATTTGTTGAAATGGCATTCTGTGCATACATCAATGGTGAGATCCAGTAGCCAAGCATCCAAAACTTATTTAGATTTTCTGAACGACAGGACAAAAACAATAAGAATATGAAAATAAGAAAAATATCAAATATAAATCAGGGAAATGGTTTCTAGATGCATATTTACTGCTTGAAACTACAAATCCGCTTAAGAGCAGAAGAAGAAGCATTGTGAAAGTTCCAAATATTTTTGCTGCAAACATGTTTCTTGTGACTCCAGCAACCAAACGGAAGAGGGAAGATGACATCTGACTGAGTGCTAGCAGCAAGAAGTAGTGCTTGGCAAGCCTGAAAGAAGAATGTCTTCATTTAGATACAGAAAGAAAATGCAAATTACCACTATACACGGACTCCTGCTAACTAAAATCTTATATCTGAGATGGCAGTCAGAAGTGCACAAAGTCACACACATATCGCCTCTTGATTTTTATTTTTGCTCAGCAGAAGACAATAATTGTCATAAATCTTATGTCTGCTTGATTATTCAAATCTTTCTTTTTTTTTTCTGAAACCAAATTTACATTTCCTACAGCCAGTATCTAATAAAACCAATGCAAGATCACAACACAACAGAAGATAAAAAGAACCACAGCTACAAATATGACAAATGTTACTTAAATTTTCGAGAAAAGACAAATGTTACTTAAATGTAGTAACCAAAGGAAATAAGCATTACAGTAACCCAACTGCACACAGAACTTTTGTTATTAAGTGTACAACACTGTTTCAGTCAATGCAATGACATACTAAAATTACAAAATGTAATGTCCCTTTACTACAGTAATAAAGAGAAGGAAAGAACTTTGATGTCTAGGATGAGGTATCTTACCTCTGACAAGAATAAATATGCTAACTTATAATTTTAACTTAGCATAGAAACCAAGCATTGCAACATCAAAACAAAATTATGCTAGGTAAATTACATATAAGAGAACCACATTACCATTCATTTCTAATGCTCACCTCCCAATATTTCGGTCAAATCCAATTGGGTAGTATGTCATAGTAACCCAGATTGTGACTTGGATAAGTGTAATAGGAATCTTAAGAATCCATGTAGGAAAAGTATAAGCCCACGCTGGATAGAAAACATCTCTTTGCGTGAAGAAAAGTGGCAATTTCATGATTGTTCCACCAAGATCACACATATTACTGAACATGGTTTCGGCCATAAAGAAGAATAAAACCCCCAAATATATCCCACCATCATCCACTGAGTCATGGCGCATATTATTGTGCCAGAATACGGTCATTGCGACGAATGATAACACCGTGAGCTGTCAAAACAGAATGTTAATTTTAATGGACCATTGTTTAGTAATGAGAAATACAGGTTATAAGTGTGGTAAGTTATAATTGTCAAGTTGGCACGGTATCCAGGGAAGACAGGCTCACAGCACAAAGTTGTGCAACTTGCTAGTAAAATGAGTAGAAAACTTAACTTTAGGAATCATAATGTGTGGCAAAATTGGCTACAAAACCAATTGTTTCCAACTGTTTAGTGTCTCCACGTGAGTGTGAATAGGATGGTAGACAAGCTCACTGTGTTTCTTTGGACATTCTGAGCTCATCAAACACTATTCCTAGAACATTACTGAGGCTTTACACTAGTGCGCTAGATATAAAATTTCTACTATTTCCTCCGTTTCACAATGTAAGTCATTCTAGCATTTCTTACATTCATATTGATGTTTAACATCAATATGAATGTAAGAAATGCTAGAATGACTTACATTGTGAAACGGAGGGAGTAGTATATATAAACTCACATTCACACAATTTACTATGTAGACGGATGGATTCCTCCTCAAAAGACGGAATTCTCTAGAAAATATGGCTTTGACCAACTTCCTTTTTCTCACACCATACTTTGAAGTTTCTAGAGCAGATAAAGAGCTCAGATTCCTCTCTAGTGGTACTTCAAGAACCTTTGTAATGGTCTGGCCAGTATGAAAGGCCTCGGAAAATCGTTCCACTGTGAAGTACCGATAAGGTTCATCTTCCCTTGACCAGTATTGCTGCTGATCTTTTCTTGAGGTCACCTTTAAAGCAAAAAGGTCAACAGCATGAGGAAAACACCATAGTTAATGTAAAAATTTGATGCAAGAGTTAACCTACTTCTAATAAAAAGTCAGCAATAGCTTTTCTGTGAGGACATATGAAGCCCAGTGACTCAAAGAAATCAACAGCTTTCTCCTTGGGGCCTTGATACACAATATGTCCTTCTGAGAGGAAGATGATATCATCAAAAAGGTCATACATTTCATGTGATGGTTGAAGTAGAGAGATTACAGCTGTTTCCCCAAGGATGTGAACCATTTGCCGTAGAAAATTCACTATCTGGAATGCAGTTGAGCTGTCAAGCCCAGTCGAGATATCATCCATGAATAGGGCTCTTGCCGGACCAATGAGTATTTCCCCTGCAACCATTCTACTATGTTATTTCTGTACAACAGTGCTTATTTATCTGTTACTGTCATATATAGCCGAGGTATGATCATGGTTTTGTAGACCTCATTACCTCATACTCTTTGTTTTTTAATAGATGACATCGTTGACTTTTGGACACACGTTTAACCATTTGTCTTATTAAAAAAATTTGTGCAAATGCATTAGATATAAATCATGCTTAAAGTATTTTTAGTGATAAAACAATTCGCAACAAAATAAATGATAATTATGTAATTTTTTTTATAAGACGAATGGTCAAAAGTGTGTCTAAAAGTCAACGGCGTTATTTAGTAAAAAAAAATAGAGGTAGTATTACTTTTTTATGCTTTATTAATAAGCTTGACTTGTGCAATGTCAAGAACATACAAGTAGACAAGTAGTTAAGTCATAATAGCCCGTACTTTAGTAACCAGCGTTATAGAAAATTGAATATGATATGACCCTAATGTACAAAGTATACCTATAGTGACACGTTTCCTTTGCCCACCAGATATGCCTCTAGCCATATCATTTCCAACCAACGTATCTGCACAGATATGTAGTCCTAAGATCTGCAGTGATAAAAAGATGTTAGCGGTCAAAGGAACTCTAATATTAATACAAGGAAAAAGTCCAAATACCCCCCTAAACTTTAGATAGTAGTCTGTCTAGCACCCTGAACTTTAAAACCAGATATCCAACCCCCTATGGTGGTTTTGTATAGTGGTTTTTATCTAATTCGTATATAAATTGGATGAGTTTGATCACGTGACATACACATCGGACATATATATTAAAATCTCCACTTAAATCTTTCTTTTTACCACTTGTTAGCTCTCCCTTACAAATAAGTACCAACATAATAATAGTACGGTATCACTGTATAAGTATAAATTGATGACTTACAACTGATGATATACAAATATGTTGTATTAGTTATTTAAAGTTGTTCGTTTGAGCTTTTAAAATATGCAAAACCACCGTCCAAAACCACCTTAAAGGGTAATATGAACGGTTTTCCAAAGTTTAGGGGGTTGCATGTCCGGTTTTAAAGTTTAGGGTGCTAGATGACTTCCATCCAAAGTTTAGAAACTGTGGGTATCATATTTTCATGAAGGGAAAAACTGTACATAAAGTACAAACTAAAAGTCTAGAGACAAACCTGCATTATATAGTTTATTACTATTTTGCTCTCGCCTCCATTTGCAGATTCCTGCAAGATTGGTACTATGAATTAAATTAAATAAATAAAAAAACAGTGGCATTTTTGTACATAATACTGAAATACATGGAAGTTCAATTTATTAGATCCAACACTAGAACTCAGCCAGAAGGACATATTTTAGGATCGAACTGTTGGAGCTAAGACACAACACGGGGTTCAACTACCTATTGTACTTGTAATTGGACTCTAGTGACTACAACTGAAATTATGGTTGTATTTCTTACTCAACTGTAGCTGGTACCTATATATGAAAAAACAAATTATAAGATTTGGTCAAGCAAAATAAGTGGAGTAGATCTTCCCTTTATCTCTCAATAACCAAGATGTTTTTCTTTCTAAGATTTTGTTTGTTGATGGATTGTTGTGGAAATGTCTAGCCAAATCAAGCTGAAGAGGGACAGTCACAGGGAAGAATGGCAGCAAAATCGAAGCTCAAGACGGTGGTGCTAGGAAGGAAAAAGTCCCGCAAGGAGCCTGACAAGAGTTGGAGTTGTTACCATGATAAAGAGACGTATCGGGAGAAGAAAAAGCATTGGACTATCTGATAAGAAATTGATGCAGTAGTACTGCATTAACGAAAACAGCGAGAGAGCAGCAGACTTGGATTGACAAGACAGAAGCAAAATCTCAACTCCGCAGTCTTAATAAGAATTTTGATGGCCTCCTCCTTTGGCCATCCCGGCTTTAAAAAAAAAAAACAACTCTCAACTGCAGATCAAGTACCACCAACAGTGAAAGAAGGCACAGACCAATCGCATTAAGATGATGTGCAATATCTTTTCTTATCAGTTTAATCAAGTACCGTAATCCATTATCTGAAAAAAAAAAATCAAGTACCCTAATCTGACTCCGAAATCTATGAGTCCATAATATACTTACTCTTCAACAATTGTGTAGATTTCTTTTCAAACTGAACAACAACTGTGTAGATTGATTGAATGTGTAACTGGTAGCCAAAAAAAAAAAAAGATACACATCACTCATCGAAAAAAGAAGAGAACACACTACTCAATCAACCCTACCGAGAAACATCTGTAGAAATAGCATAAACAGACCCTTTTTTTCCCTCAACATTCAACAATCATGCGATGAATCTAGACAAGGTTATAGTGTTTCAAAATGTGCCATGTCCATGAGTAACATAAGAAAATTTCAGAAGGAGTAACCACAATTTGAAAATAAGAGGAAAGAGTAAGTGTAACATAACTGAATAACTAAACCATGAAATTGAGCATAGGTCACTCTTGTTTATGTCCATTAGTCAATTGAAGAACAAGTTTGGTGCTATACGTCACACTTTCTTCTTCTTTAATGAAACAACATGCAGCTCTCCTGTGCATTCAAGAAGAAAGTTTTGGAAGAACAACACCCTTTTTTTTATGGAATATGGTGTCTTGCAAGAACTAGCATTACTACCCTTTGCGAGGATTCAGGGCGTGTTTGGTTGCTGCCCTCGCCTGAGCGCTGTCACTCAGGCAGGTTGATCTAGCCGCAGGCGACCGAAATTGAACGCCTGAGATCGACGCCAGAGTCAGGCGCGATTCTCAGGGCAGCATCCAAACACGCCCTCAGTTAGCTAGAAACTAGGACTTGCACAGTGAGGGGGAAATGAAAACATATTGGATGTTTGATTGGGTAACAAACATGATATCATAGGCCTGGATGACTTTGCAACTGAAAGTAGCCTGAAATTTGGGTATATTTTCCTGGGTAAACCTGGAAATGGGTCATTTGGTTGGAATCCTAGGGATGATCGGTCGAATAGAAGAACGGCGGATTGAGTATCATCAAGCTAGACTCAATTCCGGTAGCCTGGGCTTGGCAACTAAACAGACGCAGGCCCCCAGGCCTGTGGGGCAATCTAGGCCAGGCATATGGTACCCAGGGCAGCAAAGCAAACATGCCCTTTGAATTTTGAATAGTATATTTCAAAATTTTCACTACCTTCCTGAGCTAGATAATCAGCAAGCCAAATATTTACCTTTATCTATACTAATTGGAGGTTATGTTAGAAGCCACCCACATGTTAATGATTGAAAATAAAAATACTGTAAATTCACGTGCTAATACAAAAATAAAGCTAGAAAGTCACATGCTAATACAAAATAAAAAAAATCTTAATCATCGAATTTATTTGGTAGATGCAATCAACGGCTGAGATTTTTATTATGTTTTTCAAATGTTGAAAATTGTAATCATCAATATGCACATCCCGTGAATTAGGACATGCAGATAAGATCAAGCTGTGGTAACTGCTGGTTTTCTGAACCGTGACTGCTACACCCTACTCCGCTTCCCAGCGAGCTGTGGGGCTCTTGCGGCCAACAAGTTGCCGGCCTGTTTCACCTTTTTGCTCGACATGGTAGCCCACATTATTACCTTCACCCGGTGGCAGCATATGAGACCTTGCTTCACCTTCTCACGTGGTCCCAAAGGATGGTGACTCGATAAGCTGCATAGGGACTCTGAAGCCACGGTGGTGTGGGATGGCAGAAGGGCAAGGAACTCTAGGGGAAAAGATCTATTCTCCACAGATGTCTCATCCTTTACAATTTTAGGACTAATAAAACTGCAGTATCTAAAATCTGGGATTTCAAATTATTCTGTTAACTGTAAAAGTTCAACTACAAAGCTTGTTCATTGAAATGAAAGCATAGTTACAAAAATGACAGCTTTAATAAATCACGTGTAATAGTACTATTCTTACAATTAAGAAACTATGAATGATATTTATGGAAGTACAATTAATTAATATATATATTCTATCACCATAGAGATAAAACCAAGCTTGGTCTCTCCAAATAGAAGAAAAGAGTTACATCACCTTCATGAACATGTCTATGTCATGTTCTGGTGTGACATTTGCTTCCTTCTCTCTCCTCGTCAGCTCATTCAGCAAATCTGAGAGCAGAGATCAAACATCAATTAATTAACTGACTAATCACAGAACATCAAAACATGTGCAATCAACAGTCTCCTTGAAAATGACATCAGAACATGTGGAATCAACAGCCTCCATGAAAATGTCAAGTGGAGCCAAAGGTTGAAAACTTTGTCTGCTGGGAGGGGCCCATAGTGTTAAGTTGTCTGAAATTTACTTAAGCTACAGTAATTACAGTAGTATTTCTCAGACCATGGAAGGGGCCAAACCTCTGATCTTCTGCCTCCTACGCCCCTAGGTTTTTCCAACTGTTGAACATGCAAATCATGTCGTTGACATACTAACTAAAGTCAGTCTTACTAATTAGTAGTTTCAATGAGAAGTCATTGTTTCTCCTGATTAAATTATAATCAGGTAGCTCTCCTGCCACTGCATTCAAAAAAATATTTATGGTTCACTCGTAAACGTGATTAATGATATATAATTACCTTGGCGGTCACCAGTGCCTAGACACCTCGCCGAGAAAGCCAGAGTCTCCCTCACGGTCATCTCCCCGGCGTGAAGGTCTTCCTGACTAATGTATGCTGCTGTCCTCTCCGGAACAAACTGTTCCATCCCATGGCCATTGTAGGTGACTCTCCCTGACACCTGTAGTGCTTTATGAGTACACGTTAATTTTGATGCTGGAACAGATGATTGAGTATTTGAGTGTCTAGTTGCCTGCAATAGTTTAAATGCTTAACAAGTGATTGGTCGCAATCATCAATGTGCATATTTTCCTTTGTTATCTTCATGGAGGTTGATGATATTTTTTTTTAGCATAGTCCATCCAAGAGTTCATTGACCAACATGATTTACCCTGGAAACTAGTTAAAGTATGAAGGTGACTTCTGGTTATATTTAAATGAATGACAGAATTGCTTATTCAAGGTGACTAGTCATTAGATATTTCAAGTTAGAATTTATTAATCAAAGTCACTTTCTAAGAATAAGACAAATATGGTATTTACTGACTAACAGAAGCTTCAGCTTGACGAGCGAATTTAGCAGAGCAAGAAAAAAAATGCCTTCCAGGACAGATTGACATGGTAATCTTCAGAAAAACATAAAACATATTAATTGACCTGCAGCCTTCGATCTAACTTTCCAGACAAGGCTTTCAGCAATGTGCTTTTTCCTGATCCCGCAGAACCTAAAAGTAAAGTCATCCTTGAAAGAAAGGCAGGAAAAAAAAAGATCAAAGTTAACTGCAAGAGAATCATCATAGAAATCAACATTAATATATTATTGAATTCATGGACATATATAACTAAGCAGGGTGACGTAGAAATTTTCTGGACAGGGCCATGCATATAGTAGTGTTCAATATTTATAAATACTGATGCTGCCAAACATGAAATTTTTGAAGTTTACACGAAAAAAAACACTATTCAAGACAGGGACAATGCCTACCATCTATGCCACTACAGTGAGGCTAGTTTTCGGAAGAATTTACAGTAGTTTTCAATATTTATAAATCTTTCAGTTGCATTGATCAATTAGTTAATATCAACTAGATAGGGCTTGTTTGGCACAGCTTCAGCTCCAACTTCACCCCTCTTGGAGCTGGAGCTCAGCCAAACAGTTTCAGCTTCACCAAAACTGAGAGTGGAGTTAGGTGGAGCTCTCTCACAAAATGTACTAGAGTTGTGGAGTTGGGTTTAGGCAGCTCCACAACTTCACTTCAGACTCAACTCCTGGAGTTATATTTAGGAGTTGGAGCTATACCAAACAGGCCCTTATGATCCTTTTTTCTTCTAAAAAACTAGCAGTTGTACCAGCTGCTATTGTTTAGGACCAAGTGAGCACAAATGTGTTTCACAATCCACATTCATCATTAACTTGATGTAATATGTATTGCCTAGACACACAATATAAAGTCATCAAGATTAACTATCATGATATATAGGCTAAATAAGCATAAATATTAGAACAATAATCCCTGCTGTACTCGGTACCTGCATGGCTTGATGATGGCATTAGTCTCATGCAGGATGGTATACTTGGTCTTCCAGGTAATTGGTAACACATGCATAGCGTTTGCAAGGGCCTACAGAACAGACCACAGAACAGTTCATATCACACTTCCTAGTGACCTACAGATGAGAACCCACTAGTGCAATGCAATAATCCATGTAGGCAAAAAATTAATATTTGCCAAAACAATTATATGAAGTGACAAAAATTATTATTTTTGTATGCTGGGGGATTATATGAGATCAAGAAATGTTTTGATGCATTTTTTTTTACTTTCCACATCATTGCACAACATATACCAGAAGTGTGTTGCCCATGGAGGTGAAGACTGTGGGTGCTGCCGGTGATCTCCAAGTGTACGCCTCTGCCTCCACCGCAAGCCCCTCGGCACGCACCTCTATCGTTGGAAGCTCCAAGCCAACACTGCAAGAAATCATTAATATGTTTCAAATATAATTATGGTGAAAGAAAATTGAGGCCACATATGCAGAGGGGTTAGTGCATTCACCGGTCAAAACGGTTCTTGATCCTGAGCAGGAAACGCTCATGATCATCACCAGTGACGCCGACAAGATGCTCATTCGTAGAAACCATTGGAGAAGTAGCCTAAACGAAGGAACAAAGTGATGCTACCTATGCATCCCTAGCCTGGCCACATGCTCTTGGTTCGTGCAGTGCATACATATATAGTCAACATGTTGGTGCCATTCGTTTCCTTATATGCCCTTTGGTTGCTGAATCAATGGGTTGGTAATTAATTCAAAATAATGTCCAGTGGAAACAAAGAGATGCAAATGGAGGTCTCCACAGTCCCTAAAAAAATGCATGTGAGAAGACTGAGGGTGCAACCCTGTAAGTCGGCGCAGACACTTCTCTTGCAGAATGGAAAACGTATCCAAATGTTCAAATAAACGCAGTTGACCTACAGGTCTTAATTTTAAGAAGAATCTCATCAATATTAATTAACATGGGTAAAAGGACAAGGAGAGCATCTACCAGACAGCATCTACATGGTGTGAAATCCATGCAATAATTATTTTTTTCGCTGGGCCGGCGAAAGCCGGCCGGGGTATATATTAAGAAAGAGAGAGTTTAAGCAAACTGTACATGCAAGAAAACAAACAGAGCCAAAGCTCACATACAGAACCAGGAGACTGGCTCACCACATACACACGCGCTAGCTAGCTAGCCGATCCCAGCAACCGGAGGGCCACTCGCACTGATCGCGCATAGAAGCCCCGCCGCCTTCCAAGACTCCCATTCCTCCGCGATGGATGCGCAAACCTGCTCCGCCGATGCAGCTTTTCCGTCGAAGATTCTAGCATTGCGTTCTTTCCAAACAAGCCACGTCACAAGGATCACCCCGGCGTCGAAGGTTTTTCGGTCCTGCTTGTGCACAGTTTTGCGAGCCGTGTACCACCAATTGATTAAACCCTCCGATGGTGTGGAACAGGGGAGGTCCAGCCGGCTACGAATCCGCGTCCAAACTTGCTGCGTGAAGGGGCAGTCATGGAAGATGTGTGAGCAGGATTCACCGTCAGCCAAGCATAAATGACAAATCGAAGCCATTTGCCAACCCCGTCGCTGGAGATTGTCAGTGGTCAAGCAAGCTCCTCGCATCGCCAAAAACATGAAGAACTTGCATCTAGTCGGCGCCCTAGACTTCCAAATGATTTTCCCGATTGCCGACCTCGTCTTGCCGGCACAGAGAAGAGAGTAGGCTGATTTTACTGAGAAAACACCATTGGCCTCTGCCAACCAAACTCGATGTGTCCAGGAAAACACCCTGTACCAAGTCCCAGATGGCGAGATATTCAGCGATGGCCTGAATTGAGAGACCTCCCCTGATGTCAGTAACCCAAGCATTGCCCTGGAGAGCTGCAGCCACAGAACGGCTCCTATTTTTGACAAAAGAGCATAGGATCGGTGCCATCGACAGGATTGAGCCTCCCTCCGGTAACCAATTGTATGTCCAAAATGCTGCTCTATTCCCATCACCAAGCAACACTCTGCATCCCGCCGCCAGGCATTGTTCTGCCTTTTTGTCCACTAATAACGGCAGGGTAACCCAGGGACGATCTGGATGCAATAATTATTTCTCTTTTTCTTTTTCTCTAAATGGCATGGCAAGAGAACTCATGTCACTGCATTAGGACAGAGCTATAGTAACACGTCTGTATGCTCCTGTACTCGAAGAGGAATTAGTGAGGCTTATAGGAACTCCATTTTTGTATAGCACCATTTATTAAGAAATTATTGCCAACTCATAAATATGAAAAGGTTATCAAAAAAATCTTTTATAACCATCACATGCCCTTGTTCTGCGTATGAAGTCTAATGCTTTTGACATCAATCCATATACATGACGACTTGATTAGAGAACACAAGTCTCAATGAAAAGTACTTTATTTTTCCAACGCAAGAATCAAATATATAATCGCTTGTGCTGTCTGCACACTTGCATCGCATGTTGTATAAAAGTCACAAGTGTGTACTATAATATATATTATATACAGTTACCTGCCATGTAGATTAACATGCCTTTTACTCTTCAAGAAATGCAGTTGGAGGCAATGGTAAGATTTTACACCAACTGCCACTTTGTCTTCCATAACTGCAAATATATAAAGGTATTAATGGCCCTGTTTGGATCCGTCCGGAATCTCGTTATTTAAGAGTATTAAACGTAAATTACTGACAAAACCCATTCCATAACCCCTAGGCTATTTTGCGAGACGAATCTAACGAGGTATATTAATCCATGATTTGCTACAGTAATGCTACAGTAATCAGCTGCTAATCATGGATTAATATACATCATTAGATTATGGAATCGGTTTTGGAAAATACACATCGCAAAATAGCCTAGGGGTTATGGAATCGGTTTTGTCGGTAATCTACGTTTAATAATCCTAAATAGCAAGATTCCAGAGGGCTATTTAATAGCCCGGAGGATCCAAACAAGGCCAATGTGCCGTTTGTAAGATTTTTACAAAAAGTTTAATATTTGCATATGAGTATACATACGTGGTCAATTTGTTTCAGACAATCATTCATATACATTTTGGGCCTGTTCACTTTGATGCTAAAAAAAACCTTACTAGATTTTGGCATTACCAAAATTTTGGCAAGTTGCCAAAATTTTGGCAACTATACCAAAATTTTAGTAGGATTTCTTATATAGTTACTAAAATTTGGCAGCAAACTAAATGTAGCCACTTTTTTAACAACTTTACCAAAATTTGGTAAGGTTGAAAATGACATCAAAGTGAACAGTCCCTTTAGCTTATCGGATGATCATTTATTTTTATTTATTTTATTTTGAACTTTGTACTTACTTGGTAGCTCTTATAATGCATGGAGTGGATACTAATATCCTTGACGATGAAAAGACTGTTTTTTTGTCATGGCGGTAGAGTTTGAACTATGCAAAATGGCACACCTTCTGTTGTATATGCAAGCAGCAAGCACAATAAACGCAATATAAACAGGTGTTTTTAAAAAATGCAACATAAACTGGTCCATGGAAAATTAAACCATCAGATGTAACCCTTTTCTATTGGTGGCTAAGCCAGAAAATAGTGCCTTTTTATTTTTCTCCTTTAAATGGGTAGTACCTGTTCATTTCTTTTCTCCAATAAATATCAGTATTTCCATAAAGCTATTTTGAGAATTTATTAATAAGTATTTCTGTTTAAATAATCCTAGTAACTTAGAAGGTAGAGTCTCCAATGCCAGACAACTAGAGAAAACTGTAAACACTCAAGCTCTAAAGTTCGTCAAGCGCTGACGAAAGGCACGTTGGCCAGCAGCAGCTCCAACTCTCTGCAACTTGATGCAGCGAAGTCTCCACCTCACCGCCGTGGAGAGTTGCTTTTTACATGGGCTTGATAGGCTGAAAGATTGTACCTGAAGAAACTGAGCTCGAACTCCATCAGAGGTGAGCGCTCGCGCAAGAGGCGGAGATGACTGACGAACTTGTTGAACGCCGCCGCACCGCCACAGCTCCCTGTGACGCGCAGGACGGGCACCGACTTCCAGACGTCGCACCAGCAGCCGGGGGAACACGAGAACCGGAGCACGCACGTCTCATTGCAAGACGGAAGGAGAGCACGTACCGGAGGACCGCGTTCGGGAATCGGGAGGGATCCAATCTGCTCCTCGCCGCTCGACGCGGCTGTTCGGCTGCGCTTCTCGCTCGGAGGCATTCCGTCGAACAGGCGGCGGGCGCCGATGCCTGCGTGATCGGAATTCGGAAAGACTTGAGACAAGGGCAACAAGTACCACCACGCGCGGAAATAGGTCATACAATACAGGGGAAGCTCGCTTCAACTCACACATCGGAATATCTGACGCCGGCGGGAACGCAAGACGACCGGAGGAGAAGCCGCCTAAGCACCACCCTCGTCGGCAACTGGAAGGAAGAGCGATCGGTTGGTTTGCGGCAGGACTAAGTTCACTTTAGGTCTCTCACTTTGTCACCGAGTCTAAAATTCATCCCTCAATAAAAAATACCAGTTGTTTCCCATCTTATCGTACCGCGTCACCTTTGGTCACTAGGCGGCGCAGTATAGTGACTGATTTTGACTAACGTGTTGAGTAGGGCTCACGTGAGCCCCACATGTTAGCGGCCAACTCTTCTCCATCCTATCTCTCTCTTCCCCATCTCTCTAGGGCAACGCACAGTGGCCAGCAGGGGAGGTGCTGATGGCGTGCCTCGGGTAGTACCATCGGGCGCTAAGGACATGAGTGTTGATGCGAAAAACACACACTGGCCTGGAAGATCTGCTTAACTCCTGTGCAGGTCCAAAATCTTGCTTTTAGGTTCGTGAGCGTGCCATTTGATTTGATCCTGCAATCAACAAGAATAAAGACAAGAAAACCGCGGTTAAATCCAGCAACTAGCCGATCGGCTAGTTGCCGATGACATATCATTTATCTTCAAGCCGATGTCATGTTGGAATCGATCGACAGTAGTGAATGAATAAGATAAAACTAAATCTACTCGATCGGCTGTAGATATTAACAACATATAATCTTTACTTTGGTACATATTTAGACTAAGTGATTGGGATAGATCGGTCGCCATGTCGAGACAGTATAAATCACTTAAGTCGAAATATATACTAAAGTACCGATTATATAGGCGTTTATAGCATAGCCGATCAGATAGATTTAGCATGTATCGGTTAATACTCCGATACCACTCTATATTAAGATATCGAAACAAGTAAGATATATCAAACAAGAAACTTAATATACTTTTAATGCAACAAGATCTTAATATAAAGGACAGACTTAGCATAACAAACAAGCATATGAGATAAAAATAGCTAAATAAGGTAAGATCGGTTGAAACTCCGACACTATCTCTATTGATGATCATGAAACAAGCTAGATATTACAATTATAGATAGAACTTAATAGATTAAACTCAACCGATGCAACATTAAGCATAAAGATAACTATAAGATCTAAACAAGATGATGAAAACCTCTCAGAGATGGTAGATATACGATATAATCTAGATTAATAACGAGATCTAACTCTATCGGCTACTCCCAACAAAAGAAACCAGCCGATGGCAAGTTATATAGCGCAACTAACAGAGATTATAAAGTATATATGATAACTCGACGAATTACATAAACAAGATTAGAGTGTCATAAAGATGGAACCACTAATCCCGAGAATGCAAACCGCCATGACAACTTTACCTCTAGTTGAAGATCGAATCGATACAGCTCAACCCGAAAGCAAGAACTCGTCGAAATAGAACAAAAGTAAAAAAGGGTGGCGATGCGCCGAAATTGTTATTGAACTGTGTGTTATTGATTACATTGGGTTCGGGTCATATTTATACCCGAGATACATGATATGCCCTTGCCGGACACGACTCTTATCTCTAACAAACTCTAAGATACACATAAGTCTTTACGACAGACTTTTGCCCAAACATATCTCTAAGGAAATTACATAAAATATCCTAATTAATAGATACAATTGCCCATCTGAGAGCTTATCTCCGTCGTGGCAATCCTTGTTAAGCACGTCGATCGATTCTAGAAGCAGTTTCACAACCGTCTTTATCAGAATCGGCTGTATCGGCTATATCGGCTATATCAGCTATATCGGCTATCCTTTGTCCAATCCATCTTAGCCGATGCAGACTCCAGCCGATGCCTTCGCAGCCGATGCATATTCTGTTCTTCAAATCTAACTCTTTGTCGAATCCGCTTCGATTCCAATGTCGAATCTGGTTCATATCTTACCAAATTTGGTCATTAACAATGTGCAAGGACTACGTGTACACAGCAGCGCCATCCTCGGGGAAGGCACCGCTGTTGTAGATGACATAGAGCGAGCTCAGCGTTGCCTTTGTTGCTCAATGCTTACTCCCAGCGACCGGGAGCAGCATCAATGCAACCTCCCATCCTCCTCCCACTTCTCCTCCTCTTTCTCTTCATCGTCTCACTTGAACCAGTTCTCTCCTGTCACCACACATCGCCGCCGCTTGCCACCGAGATTCTCAACATCGCTGCATCGTTGCCCCCGAGCATGGGCCGCAGTGTCCACGGAGGTCGTGTCACTCCACCAGTCCACCACCGTGTCCACCGAGGTTGTGGGGGAGCATGAGGAGGGGCTGGCTCTGTGGCTCCACTCTTGGGGCTTCTTGCCAAAGGAGCAGGGATGGCACCAGAGCTACAGGTCTCTTGTGCTAGCCCTACCCCGTCGCGACTTGGCGTGTATTGCGGCAGTATCTGCACCTGCGGCACGGCAGAATCCATCGTCGCCATCGGCTACGACCACGACAATGAGTGGCTCTTCATCGGCACCATTGGTGTGCTTGCCCTTGTGTTGATGCAAAAAAAAAACACACACTAGCCTGCAAGATCTGCTTAGCTCTAGTGTAGGTCCAAGATGTTGATGAGATGCGAGCGTGCCAGTCAGTTTGATCCTGTAACTGATAAGATATGTAAACAACAGATAAAACAGCCGATTGCCCAATCGGCTGACAAGCCGATGGAGTAATTCCAGCCGATAGCTGATATTAGCCGATGCCAATTCCAGCCGATGTCGATAGGGTTTTGAGCAATCGATTATATGTCTAATGTAGATAATCCAATGGAAACCAATCGACTAATAATAGTATGATAGGATAAGTACTGATTCGATGGTTAAAGCATGCATCGGCTAAAAGTCCGATATCATAAAATCCAATTGATTTAGATAAATAGTGAAACATTTGTTACAATCGGCTAAATCCAACTTGTATGTAGTCTTTATAAGCCGATACAACGTCCAGATAACTTATCGGCTAGTACCCCAATAAAACGCTAGCATGAACCTATCGGCTTAACGAGAATTATATTATCAACAACAATCTAGTAGGTCGGACCTAACCGATGCAACACGAGATTATATATTATAATCTAATACTCGATGAGCCGATAAATCTGTCTAATGTGATGGATATAACAAATCTATTTATAACAGCATTGTGATTGAAGAGATATATCGGCTAAGACAGAAGATCAGACCTAACCAAGCCAGTCCCAACTAAACCGATGCATCTCTAAACACAATGTAATTAGAGATAGAATTGAGATATCAGGTAGGCAAATATATCAACCAAACCAGAGCAATCCAAGAGATCGAAGCGATGCAGCCTTGAACAACACCAATGTAGCTGATAGATTCACCAGTGTTGACGGAACGTAGGACTTACCCCTTCGCCGAAGATAGAACTGAACTGATGCAGCCCCGCGTCAGGTGCCAAATTCCGCCGGTTGATAAGTAAAACCTCAGAAAAGAGGGTGGTGATGCACCAAGAGTAGTATTGATCGAGAGATAAATTACAATGACCCCAGGTGTACATATTTATACCTATTGGTAGATACTAGTCCTTGTAGGACAAGAAAGAAACTTTCCTAAACATAAAAGGAAAATATAAAGTCCTTATCGGACACTAAACACACTTTTCTAAAGATAAAAGAAAACTAAACCCTGGCTAATTAATAGATAAACTAGCATGTCAAATCCTCCTTGAACTTAGACTCTTCTAGATAAGCTTCCTTTAATTGATCTTTATCCGAATCCATCAAGAATACAACTGGTGGTGATTGATAGTTTCCATTGGTCGATTCTAGAACTTAGAAGCCGATACTAACTCTAAACCGATGATTACTCCGGGCTTACCAAATTTTATCGTTAACACCTTGGTGGCGGGCCACTCTCCTTCCCCTCCTAGATCTCCACCACCTCCTTCTCCTACTGCCTTGTCGACCGCGACTCTTGGTCACCCACACTCCAGTTCGACGACTTTGCCGAAGACGAGGTGAGACAACGTACGTGGAGCTGTGCGACGTGTTCGTCCGGGGCATCCAGTCCTTGTCGGCACCTTCGGCGTGTCACTATTCGATATGCGCTACGACCTATCGAACCGGACTAGCGTGGAAGTTCCTACAGTGTTGCTGCGGTTCACGGGTGGCAGTGAGCTGTGGCTCGCGGTTCACGGGTGGCAGTGAGCTATGGCTCCTAGCGAATACGATATATGATATGTCCCTTAACTTTCAAAACTAGTGTAAATAAGGTTTCAAGACGGTTTGGATAGCAATTTCGGCTGACGTAACGTTAGGTATTTAAAGTAAAAAAAAAAATGGTGAGCCCACATATCACGTGCACCGTGTCGGCTTCCGCCACCGGTTTGGGAAGGAGAAGCGGCTCCGCGACGGCCTCGCGGTTGACGGCATCGGGCAAGACGGGCACAAGAAGCGGCTCCGTACCTTCTTGATCTGGTCCCACATGTCCTCCGCCGTGACATCGCCGTAGTTTGACGGGCCCATCGTGAAGCGCGGGCAGCCGGTGACGCGCGGACACTGTCGATCTCCTGCGATGCGATCACGAACGTCACCGGAGGCTGCCCGTCCACCGTCCTGCATTCGGCCATCCACCGACGTATCATCATCTCATTCCCAGAGTATCAAATACGACAACATGAAGATGAACGCACCTGTGATGGAGGAGGACATCATGGACGTTGTTGCGAACTCTGCGTAAGAAACAACGGCACAGTTGCAAGAAGCAACGAGTCCATTAATTAACTGATTAAAATTGGCGACAAACGTAATGCCAATATCATTAATTACATCATTCTAGAGCTCATGTGATTTCCAGTCGGTTGTGATTTCCCTCCAACTGAATTCTTCATGATGAACAGAGCCAAAGGTGAGATTTTTTTTACATGAAAATGCTGTCTTTTTCTAAAGAACTTGGTGTTGGTTTGCACTTACTGCCCATGTGCTATGTCAACGCCATGTAGGCACTACGTCAGCCGAAACCGTCATCCAAACTGCCTTGGGTTCTTATTTACACTGGTTTTGGGAGTTGATGAACACGTCATATCTCGTATTACGGTTTAGGGACGTATTTCAAACTCGGCGATAAATTGAGAGACATAAAGTAAAGAAAAAATTCCATATATACCCCTGAAAATATACTCAATCCCTTCAATACCTCTGAATTTGGCCTCATCCCTTATATACCCCTGAGTTTTCATTTTAATCTCCTC